CATATACTATGCAAAAACAGGCATATCAAACCCAACAGATTTGGCAGCACTGGTTCAGCAGCAACAAACAGGTTGCAGGATGTTGACGACCTCTCACTTTAAATTTTTGCAAAGTATTTGTAAAAATGATAAAGTTTCACAGATGATGAATCCCCAGATGGCAATGCCCAAGTGAATACTACACTACACAAAACTACATACCAAAACTGTAAAGAATACTAGAATTATAGTATGTGGTGAAACTACATACCAGAACTGATTTATAGATTTTGCTAAGGAGTATGATATCAGTACATTTAACTGTAGTCAAATAGATGAGTGTGACAAAGGTCAAATGTCCTGTTTCTGAAGCTGATGGATTTTTTCCTTCATTCTTTTTTTTTTGGGGGGGGGGGGCAATTACACATCTTTTTAAAGTCTCTATAAAATGTAGCAAAACGTTTAACCCAGATGAGAAATATTCCATTAAATGACAGTCATGTTAATAGTAAATGGAACATTAAAAGGAATTTAAATACTTACCTTGGTCATTATAAGGAATTACAAATGCACTACTGTGCACTAGATCATTTCTGAATGTTTATGGCAGTTTGTCTGGTACACTACACATAAAAAGTCTCTTCATACTATGGTAAAAGAAAGTTATAGGTGCAAAGTATTAATAATAAAATACAGAAATAACATCAGAGGTCTTTTATAACAACAGTTTGCAGTTTGATGAATCCAAAAGCTAGCAACATCTTATGCATATTTTAATGTTATACTTTGTAGTTCTCAAGATACAGAAATGCTAAGGCTTCAGTATGGTCCAACTGTGAAAGAAAAACTATCACAATATGGATTATGGAAGGCTACACATATGTCTGATCAAGCACAAAAATTGAGGTAGGAAGTGGCAAAATAGTTTGTGACAATATGGACATAGCACTTGCTTAGAATATTAGTATTTATATAAACTTCAGTCAATAACTGAAAGATGAAAACATCCTATCAATTATTAACACAGCCTTTATCAAACTCTTTTGATCTGAGGATCTAGCCTTTCACATGGCTTTTTATGACACTTAATGCAATAGGCTATCTATCCCATACAAAAATTCCTCAACTTTTTACCTAAATATTAGAAATAATGCATAAAATGTATTTAATTTTCTTAAACTAATTTATTTATGCTGGTGTAAAACTAAGCGAATTTTCACATTTGGTCTATTATCTCCAGAACCGATGAAAAGATTTGAATTAAATTTGCCATGGATATAAGTTGATAAAATGCAAAAAAATGTACCGTTCAACAGTCATGGTAAACACGTGTGATTTAAAGCTCAGCAGTGCAAGATAAGAGAGAGTGAAAAAAAGGATAACAAGTATGGTCCCTTCTAACTGTTGTACATCTCTCACAATGTCATATACTGGAAATGAGGTAACTTGTGAGTCACTGCGGCAGTCAGTTCCATTCTTGCTACAGCACGGTTTTCGGGTCCTGGAGGGGAAGGGCAAATTCCAGTTGCCTTACCAAGAGCATCACAAATATGTTCCATATGGTTTAAGTCTGAAGATCTAGTTGGCCAGTCTATCCTGTTAATATCCTCACTTTCCAAATAATCATTGACCAGAGCTCTATGTGAAAGATCAATGTTGTCCATAAAAGTGAATTTAGGGTTTGTTGATAAATAAATTGGCATACACACTTGAAATGAAGATAAAATATTTCAGGCTTACAAGCTGAAACTGGATTTAGAGACAAATATAAAAACAGGACCTTTTACAGATGACTTGTCTGCTTCATCAGTAGTCTTTTATACAGAGGTTCAGCAATGATTTTGGTGCCTCCCATTCAATTATTGAATGTAGATGCTCAGAAAAGCATTTAACACCCTGCGATTTCCACGGACAACTCAAATGTAGCAAAATCTGCTCATCCCGCGATTTCCTCGGGCATGTGTTTTTCTTCCTTTATTGAGGAGCACATCCCATTTAACCACTGAAATAAATTATATACAGTATTAGATGTTTAGTTTACGTTTTGGCCAACAGATATCGTTAGTTGTCCACTAAATTGCGGCATTTGAAGGCATGAGGTATTACTGCTCAAACTCCACTTTTTTCTTACAGAAATGGCTGCTGGAAAACATTCAGCGATTATCTTGATTAGTTAATTAAATTATTGAATTATTAATTAGATTTATTGATTAGATTAATAATTACATTGATTATTAATTAGATTTATTGAATCTGGTGCAAAGACTGTTAAGTTGGACTTTGCCTTGAACAGTGTTTTTGAACTCTATCATACTAAACTGCATTTCTATGGTATCCTTCTCTCAGCGCTTTGTATTTTCTTAAATTTTTATATATTTTACTTTTTTATATTATGCAATAAATAGAAACTAACCGTAATTCGACTGAAATTTATTTAAATAATTTTTTTTTTGGTGACAACATTTGAAATTGGTTTTTCTGGCAACTTAGTTTCTCATGATAAAAATCTATATAAAAAAATATTTTCTAGAATGTAAAATGCATTTTTCAGTTCTCCAATACATATATAGATTTAAAATATGAAAAAAAAAGTGATGACATCCAATTTATCTGATCATAAAAATTTACGGACGGATGGAGTAGAAACTCATGCTAATTTTTTTCTCCCCATTATATGAAACTCGTGCTTTGAGGGCCAATAGAACTACTATAACTGTTGCATAGAATTTCCTTTAATTATATCATACTCTGTAATGTTGAACCTTATGTATAATCATGTGAAGGTACCATGACTGTTCATATGGTATTTATGAATGCAATATATATATATATATATATATATATACATTTGTATTATATCAATGTCTATACCAAATTTCATTGTCTATCAATCAGTTCTGGAGACCAAATGTGAAAAATTCTTTTACTTTTGAACATCAGTTATTTATTGAATCTGATAATGACTCTACATAATTAAAAAATACCGTACAATCACTTATAGAAAGCTACATACAAAATAGAATAATGAAAACATGCACTTTTAATAAAGGCATCTGTTAAAAAAAAAAAAAAATTATAAATTTAACTTCTGAGTTCTAACCTTCTAAATTAAGAGTTTCTTCTAAACTTCATTTGCAACACAATCACAACTGATCAAAGCAGGTTGAAAAACAAACTGTGCCATTTGCAATTCAATTATTTCACTTAGGCAATACCTCATTAAAAGCACAATTTTAGTTCTAGTTATTTTAACAACAGCTGTGATTATGTGAATTTAACCATTTTTGCTGTGATAAGTAACAAAATGAAAGAATGCAATATAAATATATATTATTAACTTGTAAGATCAGAAGTGTGCTATAGTAACTTCCATAGCTTGTGACTGGTATACAGTAACTATATGAAACTCTGTAGGGGGGAAGAGAGAGAGCAATCACAACTATCTCTGAGAAACTCCATATTTTCAAAATGCGATCATTCTAGTACAAAGGATTCCTTCTAAAGAACATTTTTACTTATATCTTTATCCCTCTCCTACTTTTATCTTCAATGATTTTACTCATATTCATTTATGTCAAAATGATAAAATAACAACTGTTCTAATCCAAATGTCAGAGAATGACACAATCACATTAACTCTTTGACTGCTATGCGGCACAAAAGTGCTGTGTTGATGTCTCAAAAACCGCGATGCAGTTAGTTATTTTAGAATGCACTCGTGTTACAAAGCACGCGTAAGGTCAGACTACGAACGTTCACACCCATGGAGCAACAAAGACACACTGAAACTCGCAGCACTTTTGCACCCTGTAGCAGTCAAACGGTTAAGATTGTGCACTTTTGAAATTATACCTATTTTTATATATGATGGTTTTAAATTCGAACTATTTATACAATACTATGATAAATACAATTAGCAATACAACAAAAATAAGAAATTTAAAAATACTGACTTTTAACTGACTTAATAATACTTAGATTTCAAAGCATTTAAAAATGAATGGGCGAAATGTAAATTACTCAGTCCAAAGAGAATTATAATTTCTCAAAATAACTCAACCTCAGAAAAAATTAGTTTATCAATCCATTTTGATAAACTAATTTTTCTACAATTGGATTTCCCACCAAGATCTTATAATATGTCTCAATAATGAAATATCCACAATTGCATCAAAAACTTCCTGGATTAGCTATGAAGGCAAACAAATAGCAATCATGGTTGTATTGTTACAGTAACCTTCAAATTTGATTAGACAGCATGCCAAGAAACACTGCTGTGTTAATACTGGGGGTTGCTTATAGTAAGTGTTTTTGTGATTACCTGTGTGTAGCAGTCTGTGATTACATCGTGAACAGAAAGAGGAAGAACAAGCCAACGAGAAATTTTGTGTTTAAACTGGGCAAACCAGTCACACAGACACTGATTGTTCAACAAACTTGCAGCGGTGAGGCAATGAGTTGTACGTAATGTTCTGAGTGGCACAGGATTTCCAAAATTAGAATAACATTCTCAAGGCTATCTGGAAGACCTCACATGATTATCACAAGACAAACAACAGTAATGCAGACATTACTAATGCACAAAGCTGATTTGTGAAGACAACCCTAATATCAGAATTGAACATACTGCATAGTGCTATCAAGTTTGTCTCCTGTTTGCTGACCTCAGCAAAAGAAAGACTGCATTGCAGTGTGCCAAGATTTCTGCATATAAGTTGGGGAGAATCCATTCCTCATATCTAGGATCACCACTGATGATGCGACTGAGCATGAACTGCAAAAGATTAGGGACTTGCTAATGCAGAAAGACTTCGAGGCTTTATTCCAGCAATGGCAAGAACTCGGAAGATTAATGCATGCTATGCAAGGTAACTATTTTAATGGCAAAGATGCTCAGGTTTCGGTAACACAACCTTTTGTTAACAGAACTAATCCAGAAATGTTTTGATTCACTCTAGTAAATAAAGAGGAAGCATGGACATCAGTTTCAGTACATCATAATTAAATTAAAAGAGGACTCATTCAAACTCTGAAAATTCACTTTATTGTTATAAACATTGATGGAATAGTATACAGTGACTTTGTCAAACTATAGTAGATTGAATTACAAAATATCTTCTATAAAAAACATGTACATTGTTTCTGATGAACAAAATTCCCATAAGACACTTTTGATTTATACAGTGTTTGTTTATGTTTGGGAATGTACCCTCTCAAAAAGAAATCTTGCATAACACATTTAAACATTAAAAGATAGCAAATGAATCTGCGAACATATTTACTCCTTCACAGGAAATGAAAGGAAATCATCTAAGCATGGTCCATTCCTTCCTAGTGGGTCATTTGGAATCATAAGAATATCGCCAACAAAACAAAACATGAGCAATCTGAAAATTGAAGGCAGAAATTGAGAATTAATTATGACGAGTTAAATATATGCTGGAAATACAAAACTTTCAGTTTTATCATACAATTTATGTTTCCAAACAATGAATACTTTTACGCTGCATTTAAGCATTCGAAGAAACACACTTTTCCTCCAAATGCCATTTGAAAGAAAAACTGAGTGAATATTTTTCAAAAGCTAATAAAGTTCTAAAATATATCACCAAGTATGCTGAAAAATTTCATCCACAGTAATCTCTATGAACTAATTAATTTCTTAAAAATAGTAAGTAAATAATTATAGCAGTAGTATGTGAAGTTTGGCTGCTCAAAATTTTCACTATAATTCTCAATTATAATTAATTGTACCGAGGGCGTTGGGTGTGTTCAGATAGTTGGATGAAAGATGTGATAATGTGAGATTTCTAAGATTGTGATATCATTATATTTAATTAAATCAATTTATATTTTGTTGATTGTTGATTTATTGAAATTTGGTGTAATATTATGGTTACTGAACCACCACACTATGAAAAGCTGGATTACCACTGAAATTTCATCCATTTTCATGTTTTGCAGCATCGGCCATTGGAAACCACCAAGAGAATCTTTATTGAATTATTGAAACTGAATTATACCTGGAATTTAAATAATGACTAAATATGCTGAAAATCTGTCAAAGTTGAAAGAAACGCACTTCCATGCATTCGATGTTGACGAAATTAATTAACAAAATAGAAGTAGCGATCAACAACGAAAACGAAACAGTCGATCAGTTCGAAGCATTTTTGGAACAATTAATCAGAAAAAACTGACTTAAATTCTTTAAATGATGAAATTGAAAATCTTTTGAGCGCCGAGGCAATATCCGAAGCTACAGAAGAAATCAAAGAAAAATAATTTTTTGGAAATCGAAACTTCATTCTAAAATAAAGAAAATGAATTCTGATTCTATCCAAGTTGATACAGTTTCACAAAACATTCAATTGATAATTAATGAAACTGAAAATACAAACATAAAATTGCCTAAATTACATATTAGTAATATTATGGTAATTACTCTGCTTGGTTAGAGTTTTACAATTTATTTGAAGCTCTGTTCATAATAACTCTAAATTTTAAGCAAGGTTGATAAATTTAAGTATTTGAAATCATATCTCGGTGGTACTACGGCAGCACGCATTAGTGGATTTGCTTTAAGTGATGAAAATTATGATAAAGCACTTGATTTATTGAAAGAAAGATTCAGAAATAAAAACATTTTGATTAACACTCATTTGAGTGTGAATTTAACTCCAGTCAAAAACGCTAACGATGTTTTAAGTTTACGAAATTTATATGATAACGCGGAAACACAGATCAGAAGCTTAGATGCTTTAAGAATTACTGGTGAATCTTACGCAAATTTAGTAACACCAATTTTAATGAAATTCATTCCTTCAGAATTTGTTTATAATTTAATCAATATTCAAGGCGACAGAGAATTTGACTTAAAAACTCTTGTGCAATTCATTAATAAAGAAATTCAAAGCCATGAGAGATCCTTTCCAATTAATAATTATAATCATCGAATCAGCAAGTTCCAGCAAGAGAGCCCCGCAAATGCCAGCAATCAGCGAGTTCCCCGCAAGAGAAAATAAAACGTAAAATTTCTACTTCTGTTAGACATAACTCTTCAAGACCTCCACATAAGAGGGAGAATTCTTTCTCCTTCCCACACACGCATGAATTCCTGGCCTCAGTCGAAAATGTTATGTATTTATTTTGTAGCAAGGTCATAAATCAGAATTGTGCTCTACATTTGATGTAAATAAAATAAAATTAAAAAAAAAGATATATTAAAGAAACAAGTCGCTGTGTCTTATGCTTGACACCAAATCATTGAGTTGCAGAATGTTTTAAAAAAGAGCTAAGTCCTAGCTGCAGTAAACCTCACCATGTCTCAATTTGTTTTCGAAATCAAAATAATCCACACATTATTTCTCCAAAGGAGAAAATGATAATGTTGTGTCGGCAAATATCGCATCGGCAAAAAGAATACTATGTTACAAACATGTTCAGCCTTAAGTGATAATGGAAAACAGCAGGAAATTGTTAGAATTTTCCTGGACAATGGTTTACAACGCTCCTTTGTTTTGTTAGCTATTTCCAAAAGGTTTAACTTTCCAGGTGCTAGAAAGGAAAGCCTTTCTATTTGCACAACTGGTGCTAAGGAAATGGAAACAAAATCATTTAATGTAATTAAACTTAAATTAAAGAATACAGATGATCAAAATTTATGTATAGAAATTGAAGCACTAGAGACAGAACATATTTCGGGCACACATATACAGACTCCCGATAAAAATATTGAGAAACAATTTAGTCATTTAAAAATGTACAACTTGTGGACTGTTATGAATTTAAACAATAAAGAAACATCAATACTAATAGGTGCAGATTACTATTATAATATTGTCACTGGTCGAATTAGAAGCCTAAATAAAATCCTCGTTGCAGTTGAAAACAATATTTGGGTGGTGTTTGCAAGACCGAAACGAACTTAAATGAAGCATTTGCAATGAGTGTTATGGTAAAAGAATCCAATATTTCCGATCAACTCAAGGAATTTTGCGATTTAGAGAATTTGGGTATCAAGGAGAAGTAGCTGACATGACAGAAACCACTGAGAAGATATATGAGTGAATTTGAATCTGGAATTTCACATCAAAATAAGCGATACAAAGTGAAATTACTCTGGAAACCAAATATGAAGACATTATTAGAAAATAATGAACAGAGAGCAATGAAAAGATTTTTGAGATTGAAATCATCTTTTAAAGATGACCCTTCCTTATTTTGTGAGTATAACACTGTTCTAAAGAATTATCTTTCAGAGAATATTATTGAACCTGTCCCAGTTGATGAAGTAAATTTACACCGAAATACATTTTATCTAACTCATCGAGCTGTAATACATATGGATAAGACTACAAGTAAATTATGCACTGTGTTTGATGCTTTGGCACATGGGAAAGGTCAGTTATCTTTGAACGATTGCTTATATACAGGACTTAATTTTACGCCTAACCTATTTCTTCTTTTGATCAAATTTAGAACAAATCCGATAGCATTTGTTGCAGATATAAAGATGGCCTTTCTCCAGATCGAAATATATGAAACTGAACGAAAGTACAACAGATTCTTCTGGGAAGAAGATCCAGGAACTGATGATGAAAACAGGAAATTGGAAATTTTTCGGATGACAAGGGTGTTATTTGGGGTGAGATCAAGCCCGTTCCTTCTTGCAGCCACAATCAAACATCACTTGAAAAGATACGTAGATATATTTCCTCTGACTTCTAAACATCTTAATGAATCATTGTATGTTGACAATTTTATTTGTGGGCAAGGTCACTGTTCAACAGGCTCTAAAGACTTGTAAAGAGAGTGTAGACATTCTAAAAGAGGCAAGCGTGGACCTTCAAAAGTGGAGAACCAATTCTCCTGAGCTAAGTAAATAATTAAAGAATTTAAACTTCAATGTAGATCAGGGTGAAGAGTTTCTAGATACAAAGTTAATAGCTTCAAAAGTATTGGGAATTGGTTGGGATGAACAAACTGACACGTTTTATTTCGATACCAGAAATCTGGAAACATTTCTTTTAAAAAGAACTAACACAAAAAGTTACTACAAACGGTAGGTCGACTTTTCGATCCAGGTAGGTTTTATAGAACCATATACTATTAGAGTACTATTAGTACTTGATGCAAGAAATCTGGCGTTTAGGATTAGACTGGGATGAAAAATTGTCCAAACAGTTGGACATTTCTTGGAATAAATGGTGCGATGAGATCCAAGATGTAAAGGAAATAATTATCCCCCCATATTATTTTCAAAATTCTTTGCCCAGTCATGCAATCACAATTCAATTACACTGTTTTTCAGATGGATCTAAGAAAGCTTATGGTACTGTTGCATACTTGCATAGAATTAAAAGGGGAAAATATTATTTCTAGGTTTGTAGCATCAAAGGGCAGGGTAGCTCTGTTAAAAACCCCTTTCGATTCCTAGATTAGAGCCCATGGGTGCACTTTTGTCTTCAAGATTGAGCAATAAAATTTTAACTGCACTAAGTTTTCCAGTTACTCGATATTTTTGGACAGAGTCCTCAATAGCTTATTACTGAATCAAGGATGATCTAAATAGACATAAGGTGTTCGTAAAGAATAGAATAAAAAAAAATACAAAAATATAACAATCCAAAAGAATGGCATCATCGTATGGGAAAGAATAATCCCGCCAATTTGAGTTCTAGGGGTTTAATCTTTAGGTGAGCTCAAGACTAATCACCTCTGGTGCATGGACCCTATTGGTTGACAGTGAATAATAGAGCATGGCCATCCTCCTTAGAATCGATGGAAGAAACTGAAATAGATGTCGATAAGTTAGAGTTTAAGAAGTCAGTCTAAAATCCTTGCATTCTGGTGTACAGACTACATTATCTTTAATAAGACAGTCATATTGGATACTGTCTGGCCAAGATCGAGTTAAAAGAGTAATAAATAAGTGCATCACTTGCTTTAGAACGAAGAATCAAGTGGTACGCCAGATGATGGGTAATCTACCTAGGGAAAGAGGTACCTTCCAGACCTTTCGAGAAAGTCAGATTAGATTTTGCAGGACTTATAATCACGAAACCTAATTTGAAAAGGTCAAAGGTGACTTTAAAGTCTTATATTGCATTATTTATCTGTTTTTGCACTAAGGCACTTAGAAGTTGTTTCTGATTTAACAACAGAAGCTTTTCTAGCCTGTTTATGACAATTTATTGCCAGAAGATCCAAACCAGCCATCATCTGGAGTGACAATGCCACGAATTTCAAAGGTAAGAGAAATAGTCTTAACTCATATAATGAAATTTGCAAATCTAATCCAATTCAAGAATTTAGTGCAGAAGAAGGCATCAAATGGAAATTTATCCCACCAGCTTCTCCACACTTTGCTGGACTACAGGAAGCA